CGCCAGAGGATCCTCGGGTCCTCTGACGGGTCCTCTGGCGGGTCCTCTGGTCAAACCGGGGTCGTACCACCGGGGGAAGCCCTTCGGAGGTGGCCCAAATTGGGCCAGAGGACCCGCCAGAGGATCCTCGGGTCCTCTGACGGGTCCTCTGGGAAATCTTCCGGCCAAACCGGGATCGCACCACCGGCGGAAGGTCCTCCGAGGCGGCCCAAGTTAGGCCAGGCGAAAATGTGCGCCGGTTTGCCGGGGCCGCCAGGTTGCTCGCAGTCCGCAGCCGAGTGTGGTGATTTGGGCACACGAGACGCCAACACAGACGCGGCGCGGTTGTGCACACAAACAGCAGCGGAGTCCATGCGCGCGCCGCGTTTTCGGTTGCATTGCAACACACTTTGGCACGAGCTAAGCCGAAGGTTTCCCGGGAAACCTTAAACGACCCTGCCCGAGCGGAGTCCATTGATTTCTAGGTCTCACAGCGTCACTTTCTCGTTGCTTTTGTCTTTTGTTCGCTGTGCGCTTTGCACAAATAAGGGCGAGAGACACGAAAAAATAGCAGCATGAGCAGAGAGATGGTTTCGTGAAAAACGACAAAGTTGTTGAGTGAAAATTATCGGAAAAACGTAGCTTATCCCAGGTTTCCTCGATGACAAAAAGTTGATCCAGTGCTTCGTCGTTCGTCGGCACCACAACTCGATGGCCAACATCGACGGCAGATATTGCGCAACAGTATTGTCGCCGTGTTAAGAAGCGCTTTTATCTTATGCGCGCACACCGACCACTGCATTGGTAGTTCACCTCCTCTTTAGTAAAATTTTTTTGTACTTCTACTCCAGCTTCCTCGGGAGAAAGTCTCCGTGCTATTGAATACTTCACTCTAGTTTTGCTGTTGCTTTATCCGAGACATGAAGAAACGACTCTGACCCAGATCCACGACGCCCAAATCGCCCGACATGTTCCGCGCTCTATTACAGCAACTCAAAACCGCCGGGCGAGCGCTGCAATACCGAGTTTGGATGCGGCGAGGAGAACCTGGGAGTTGTGATCTATCGGATTCCGGTTCATCCGAGTCGCTGTCTGCGGAAAGCAGCGTTCGTGTCGACGAAGCCATTGTCGTCACATGGTGGGAGAGGATAGCAAGCCAGGCGATGAAGCGAATGCGGCGCAAGCGGGTTAGCGTTCCCTCTCTGGAAAGCATCGAGGGCTGGGCAACACTCGCCGTGCGGCTTTTGAGGAGAAGCCTGATCTCGGGCGAAGAATCCGAAGACGCGCAAAAAGTGGCAGATGATGCGGATTTGTGGCGCTGGCTACAACGAGAGCTTTACCCGATTGACTTCACGGACGCGTCGGGCGAGGTGCTCGCGGAAGGTACCTCCTATACGGAAATTAAGACACAGTAAAATAGACGTATTTATTTTTATACTGGTGTTATTTGTGTTGGTTCTGGTTGCGGAACACGAATATGTCTACGTTTTCTTGGCATGCACGATAGTTAGCGGAAGCGTAGTCGTGAACGGACCACTGAATCGAAAATTTCATCCACCTGTGAGGTGCATGCGTGCCAGCATCCTCGTTCAATAGGGAAGACTACGGAAGTGAATTTCTCCACCGAGCTAGACAAAAGTCGTCGCAGCCAGTGCCACAAGAGTGCTACGACATGCTCAGGAGCCCGGATTACAGCCCGCTGCCGCACGTAGATGCAACTAACACAGTCCCGAATACCACGGGCGTGCCGCTACGATACCGTGTACTGTGTCGATTTCCGGTTCACGCACAAGCCGGACCAAATCAGGAAGCGCGCGGGCGGGTCAGTGCAGAAGCAGATGAACTAGGTGCGCCAATCTGGGCCCGCATTCGCGAAATCGATCGAGCTACGGAGAATCTTGACCTAGATGATGAAGTGCCGGAGCGTTCGGCGTTAGAGCACGAATGGTGGGACCTGTGCGCGGAGCACTGCCGGGGCACGTACATCGAGAGTAGGGAAATCCTGGAAGTGCGACTGTACTCGACCGGTGTGCTGTTCGCTTTTCTCAACGACACCTTTTTGGGAAGCGCATTGCACTTCCGCGCGATGACGGGGCCGCACTACGGATATCGATGTCCCTGGCGACGCACTGCGTGGGATCCGGAGAAGCGGACTTGGACCTTCTCCCTCCTCGATTTCCCACCAACGCAGGAGACGTTTCATTTGATGTCCTGGGACAGCGACGTATACAACTTCGAGGATTTTTATGCATATTGCCCGTTCGAGGTGCCGCCTGACGATAGGCCGTTTTACAATCACTTTGTCCTGAAAGCGCAAGAAGACACGCTCCTGCGCTGCCAGTACTACGCGTCCTTGCCGATCGCGCAGCGGCTCTGGGCGGTTCTGACTCGCGACGAGATGGCACCTGCCAAAATTTTGGTTTTTTTGGACCCCGACGACGAGAGCGAGACATCAGCCCGCGTCCCGTCGCTCGTGCCCGCCCGCACGAAAGAAGACAAGCGGCGCACCTACAACATGCTCAAGAAGCTGTGTGAGACGTACCCAGCGTTCAATGTGGTTCGCTACGCGCTGGAGGAGAACGCCGACAGCCTGGTTTATGAAGCACTGAGGAGCGGCAAGGAAGAGGCGCCGACGGAGGTCGTGGTGTTGATCCCCCGGAGCGACCTGCCTGTCAACAACTGGGCATACCTATGCATCACAAACATATCTCGGTCTAGGAGGGTGCAAGGCTTGTCATATCTTTGTTTAATAAACTACACGACCTTAATAAAAGTCTGAGATCATGCCTGGGCATGACAGGCCCCTCCGGCCCGTCTTGCAACTACGGAGTCTGCCATGAGCAGTACGCGAAAAGGCATAGCAGCGGAAAAACTTCTCATGCGTGACTGCGTATTGTAGTGCATGTGCATCCACCATTGACGACATACCTACTAGCATTGCAACTTTCCAGAGCCAGACACTTCTGCACTTGATAATACCCCGATGCAGATGAGGAGATGGAGGCCGCCGCGGACGGGAACGAGGAGGGAGAATCCGAGGAAACGGATGACGAGGCAGTATCCCATGCAAGAGGAGTATGTATCGGGTGTGCAGGCTGCGTTCATGTGGAGCATGCATCGATTTGATGGCGCACCTGTGTTTCATATTAATTTCAGAAAAAACTACAAGCACAAGAACCGGTAGGTATAAACAGCCTGAAAGCAGTACTAGTCACACACTAACAAGATACGTCATTTGCGATGCATAGCAAGAGCAGGACGATGAGGACGACGATAGAGAGTCCGTTAGCGGGGAAGAGGATGAAGAAGAAGAGGGAGACTTCGTCCACGACAGCCTCGAGAGAACACCTCCGACAGCAGGGCCGGCAAGAACAGGCACCCCCCGCGCCGCGGAGAAGAGCACTGGAGTACCAGCCAGGTTCACGTTGAGGGAACTTTGCTTCTGCAGTTTTATGTGTTGCAAATATGCAGCCACGGTTGTCGAGATGGAAAGCCGAGCCGTTGGGGCGGTTCATTGTTCTAAAACTAAATTTGCTGCAAGTACAACGTAAAATAACAGGATTGCAATGTAATTGTAAAGTCCATCAACGCTTTCTCTCCCGAGGACCGTGGCATGTTTGCAGAGGATATGCATAACGTGTTTTGTTTGCGGTTGCTGGGTCGGGTGGATTGTGGCTGCGTGCATGTTTCACCCGGGCATTTCAAGTACCACTGATGGTCCAGCGTACGGACGGCACGAGATGAACGTTGGAAGCCGAGCGACGATTTCGGAGACGCCGCTGCAGCGTGACCATGATGCGGAGGGCGCAACAAGGTCGGGACGAGCAGGTGTCGCGATACCGGGGTCAGCGGAAACGATGGTAGTCATTCCTGCGAGCAGTCTACCGACCAACAACTGAAAGTGCTACGCCACCAAGGGATGCGGACGCCGGAGCAAAGGAGAAATCGAAAATGAAAGTATCACGGTCAGTCCTAGCAGAACTGCAACTGTATGATGAAGACTAGTCGAGACCTATTGTGACACTGAGGATCTTTTTGAAGCAGAAGCTCGAGCCGGTAGAAAGTAAAAATGAACAATGCGTCGGCATTGCAGAACCAACCCCCAGCACCGGCTTTTCTTGTATGATGAAACAAAATTATAAAATGTGCCGGCTCTTGTATGATGAAAAAAAAAACTTCAGCTTTTGATGCTCCTCTTCCTCGACCATGCAGACCTACTTTTGAATCTGCAACTCCTCGCGCAATCAGAAGTAGCACGCCCCCGCGCCACAAGGAGGCCAAACTGCTGCATATCACTATTTTCTCATGTTGTGTAGTCGCTGTCGCTGAGAGAAGATAAGTTCGAGATTTGAGCACGAAGTACTCGTCGCTGCAGCTGCTCGAAAAAAACTTTTTTCGACGGGATAAGAAAGTAGTTTCTTGTCTTTACTTAAGTACTTACCTCGCATCGTAAGATAAACAGCATGTACTGAGCAGACTTCTGCACTCGGGGCTTCATTGATGGACTTAGATATAGATTTTACTGGTGTAAAAGTGAAAATTGTTATGTTATACCCAGTACTTAGTCTTACTGTGAGTGAGCTGTTTTTTTCTTCTTGTTTGGTTTAGGCGGAGGTACAGCTTCCTTCGAACACGGCCTAATTTTCGCGCACCATGCTGCGTGCCACATTGCAGAAAATTGAAGGAGCCTGGGCAGCGCTGCGGCGCGGACCCCGTGAGCGCCGACTGACCGGTGAAGACGAGCGATCGGAGGACAGCGACTACGGTTCGGCAACCGAGAGTGGGGACGAATCAGACCAGACCGGGTCGAAAGTCGACAGCGAGGACCAGTTCGAGACCGGCCCCGTTGGTGCAGAAATCGAAAATACGGCTGGATCCATGTTGTCCGAGTCGGGAGACGGCGGTGAGGACGGGCCGGAGCCCGAATCCGGATCGGGAAGCAAAAATGGCGAGGCGAAAATAGCTGCAATTGCCGCACGTCGGGACGAAGCGGAAACGAGTGGGCGCCTGGCGGTGGAACGCCTGAAGTGGGGACCGAGTCCGATCGCTGCAAATAAGAGGACGTCGCTGAAGGTCATCGCAGGATGGGCCACTCTGCGACGAAAAATGATCCTGGATAACAATGCTGCCAATACTGCGGGCTCTGCAGGAGAGGACGAGGCTACTGGCTATCCAGTGGATTTCACGAATGCTTCTGGAGAGCTGCTGCTCAGGGGTAAGTACAATTTTTTTTTCACACTGATGAAACGCATGATGGAATCTAGTCCCTCCAGTAGTTGCATGTGTCACTACTTGTACTTTGGGTTTCAGTTCGATGAAAATAAAAACACAGGCTTCACCGGACCGAACGCGGTGACCGAGGAGTACAAGCGCGAGTTTCTGCACCGCGCCACACGAGGCTCGCTGCAGCCTCTGCCGCAAGAGTGCTACGACATGCTGAACAGCCCGGAGCACAGTCCGCTGCCGCACGTGGACAGCAGCACGAACGTTCCGAACACCAGTACTGGAGCTCCGCTGCGATACCGTGTGATGTGTCGGTTTTTCGTCACGCCAAATCCTGAACGCCATGTGTTTGACGAGAGGCAACGGCTGATAAAGGAAGCATTGGAAGCGCTAAACCTGGACGAGAGGTATGCCGAGGACATTCGTGCTCTTCGGCGCAGCTGCACTGGCCGAGTCGGGCACCTGTACGAAAAAGCGTTCGGTTGTGATGTGCCAGAACTCTTGGCCTCCTGGATGGGCGGTCGCGACTACGAGTGGGGCAGAGACGATCTTCTGTTGGAGAAGATGGAGAACGAGTGGGACTGCCGCGCAATGAAGAAGCGCGAATTTAAGAATACACTGGAGGTGCGCTTCTATTCGAGCGGCGAACTGCTCGCTTTCCTCGACGACGTCCTTCTGGGTAACGCACTCCACTTCCACACAACTGAGATCGAATATGATCCGCTTGTGGAATACGAGATCCAGAAGCACTGGCGAGAGTGGACATTTTCTCTCATCGATTGGCCACCCGCGCCGGAACAGATTCGCCTACTCGCCAACGACATCGACAGGTATGAGACACTTCCCAACTATTGCCCCGCCGCCGCCTGCACAGAGGCCAACTGGCTTCTGTACTTGGATTCGAAAGCAGAGGCGCTGTTGCGTTGCCAATTCGTCGCTTCGCTGCCGGTCGCCCAACGCTTGTGGACGGTGCTGACCTGCGAAGAGATGGTCCCCATCAGGCAGTGGAGCTCACCCGGCGAGGATGGCGCTATCGAACAATGCACCGCGGTGCCACTCTCGCCAGCCCGCACGGCGGAGGAGAAGAAGCGCACACACAACCTGCTCCGGCATCTCTGCGACACCTACTCAACCTTCAACACGGTGCGGTACGCACTGGAGGACAACAGCGAGATGCTCATCTTCGAACCTTCGCGGAGCGGGGCAGCGGAAGACGTGGAAGGTGACGCAGAAGCGGATTCGGCCGAGGTCTTGGTGCTGATTCCTGACAACGGCCTACCCATCAACAACTGGGCTTACCTAGTCCCCGGCGCAGCGTGAAACTGTGAAAAAATGGTGTGAACAAGAAGGGAACCGGAAACAGAAGGTTGACGAAGATGATTGTAAATTTGTAAATAATAGTACGAAAATAATCTACGCAGCTGTCATTGCGGCGAAAACAAAAGATGAAAAACGTGGACTACAGCCAATAAGGATGGGCGTTTGGCGATGATTGCTGCGGGGAACGCAAAAAGGTGCAATTTGCGTAGCTAAGGTGACTAGAACAAGAAGACCCCAATTTGAACTGATGGGGGAACTAGATCACACTTGAGAATATTTTTGACATGTGCGCGTACGGCGCACCAGCGTTGGCGTTGTCCTGTACCTTTGCACGCAGCTGTTGTTTGCGCGAAAAAAATCAAATATGAAAGCGGCTGAGCGAGAGCGACTCCACCAAACCGGAAAGCGGGCAGAGAAAAAGAACACTTCATCAAAGTATTTACGCGCCTTGGTTTGTCGCGCAACCAAGTACCGAGAAGCACATGATGAAGATTCCGCTCCGTCTAATCCCTCACGCTGCCGTTGTGTGTCATTGCAGTATCATGACGATCAGGGTACAGAAAGGAAAAGTGCGAAGCTATCGACGTCATGACCCTCAGTTATATTCGTTTCCATGATGATTTTTTAGGGACCACACCAACAACCAGCCTTGGAGCGTGCTGCAAAAGCGGTTTTATCTAAGCCTCTTGGGGGTTGGCGACATTTTCCATCTGATGCAGTCCATGCACACCGTCACCGCCCCGACTCGAATCAATTTAGAGGCGATGGCTTTCGTGCTTTTCTCTTTTAGAGAAGAAGGCTGGATTTAGTACAGACCACGCATGCCGCGGCCGCCCCGACTCGAAGTAGTACAGGGGTGCCGGTTTTTGTGCTCTTTTTCGGGGAAGAAGGTCGGGCTTGGTTTTGGATTTAAAACAGGCTTGCCGCGCTTGTTCTTTTTTCTGCTTTTGGTGTTCGTTGATTCATTCCTTTCTTCACTGGTTTGAGTTTTTCCTGGTTCCGGGTTCGCCTGGTTGGGGTTTCGTCTCCCCTGCTGGTTTGGCTTTTTCTTGTTTGAGGTTTGTCTTCGTTGCAGTTTCTCCTGCTTGAGGTTTCTCCTCTTTGGGGTTTCTCCTGCTTGAGGTTTCTCCTCTTTGGGGTTTCTCCTGTTTGAGGTTTCTCCTATAAGGTGGAGGCTTCTCCTGGTGAAGGATTCTCCTGGTTGGGGTTTCTCCTATTTGAGGCGTCTCCTGGATGAGGTTTCTCCTGGTTGGGGTTTCTCCTGGTTGGAGTTTCTCCTGGTTGGAGTTTCTCCTGCTTGAGGTTTCTCCTCTTTGGGGTTTCTTCTCTTTGGGGTTTCTCCTGGTTGAGGTTTCTCCGGGTCGGGGTTTCTCCTGGTTGGAGTTTTTCCCGGTTGAGGTTTCTCCTGGTTGAGGTTTCTCCTATTTGATGACTCTCCTGGTTAAGGTTTCTCCTGGTCGGAGTTTCTCCTGGTTGAGGTTTCTCCTGGTTGGGGTTTCTCCTGGCTGAGGTTTCTCATATTTGGGCTTTCTCCTGGTTGAGGTTTCTCCTGGTTGAGGTTTCTCCTTGTTGGGGCTTCTCCGGGTTGAGGTTTCTCCTGGTTCAGGTTTCTCCTGTTTGAGGTTTCTCCTGGTTGAGGTTTCTCCTCTTTGGGGTTTCTCCTGGTTGGGGTTTCTATTGGTTGAGGCTTCTCCTGGTTGAGGTTTCTCCCCTGGTTGAGGTTTCTCCGCTTTGATGTTTTTCCTGGTTGAGGTTTCTCCTGGTTGGGGTTTCTCCTGGTTGAGGTTTCTCATATTTGGGGTCTCTCCTTGTTGGGGTTTCTCCTGTTTGAGGTTTCTCCTGGTTGAGGTTTCTCCTCTTTGGGGTTTCTCCTGGTTGGGGCTCCTCCTGGTTGAGGTTTGTCCTGCTTGAGGTTTCTCCTGGTTGAGGTTTCTCCTGGTTGGAGTTTCTCCTGGTTGCGATTTCTCCTGTTTGGAGTTTCTCCTGGCTGAGGTTTCTCCTATTTGAGGTTTCTTCTGGTTGAGGTTTCCCCTATTTGGGCTTTTTCCTGGTTGGCGTTTCTCCTGTTTGAGGTTTCTCCCGGTTGGGGTTTCTCCTGGTTGAGGTTTCTCCCGGTTGGAGTTTCTCCTGGTTGAGGTTTCTCCTATTTGATGTCTCTCCTGGTTGAGGTTTCTCCTCTTTGGGGTTTCTCCTGGTTAAGGTTTCTCCTGGTTAAGGTTTCTCCTGGTTGGGGTTTCTCCTGGTTGAGGTTTCTCATATGTGGGGTGTCTCCTGGTTGAGGTTTCTCCTGGTTGGGGTTTCTCCTCTTTGGCGTTTCTCCTGGTTGAGGTTTCTTCTGGTTGGGGTTTCTCCTCTTTGGGGTTTCTTCTGGTTGAGGTTTCTCTTGGTTGGAGTTTCTCCTGGTTCGTTGGGGTTTTTCCTGTTTGGAGTTTCTCCCGGTTGAGGTTTCTCCTCCTTGAGGTTTCTCCTATTTGGGCCTTCTCCTGGTTGGGGTTTCTCCTGGTTGAGGTTTCTCCCGGTTGGAGTTTCTCCGGGTTGAGGTTTCTCCTGGTTGGGGTTTCTCCTGGTTGAGGTTTCTCCTATTTGGTGTCTCTCCTGGTTGAGGTTTCTCCTATTAATTTGCTGCGTTGAGGTTTCTTCTATTAAGTAATTTGGTGCGTCTTCTGGTTGGAGTTTCTCCTGGTGGGGGTTTCTCCTGGTTGGGGTTTCTCCTGGTTGAGGTTTCGCCTGTTTGAGGTCTCTCCTGGTTGAGGTCTCCCCTGATTGAGGTTTCTCCTGGTTGGGGTTTCTCCTGGTTGAGGCTTCTCCTGGCTGAGGCTTCTCCTGGTTGCGGTTTCTCCTGTTTGAGGTTTCTCCTGGTTGAGGTGTCTCCTGGTTGAGGTTTCTCCTGGTTGGGGTTTCTCCTGGTTCAGGTTTCTCCTATTTGATGCGTCTCCTGGTTAAGGTTTCTCCTGGTTGGAGTTTCTCCTGGTTGAGGTTTCTCCTGGTTGGGGTTTCTCCTGGTTGAGGTTTCTTATATTTGGGCTGTCTCCTGGTTGGGGTTTCTCCTGGTTGAGGTTTCTCTTTGTTGGGGTTTCTCCTGGTTGAGGTTTCTCCTGGTTGAGGTTTCTCCTATTTGGGGCTTCTCCTGGTTGAGGTTTCTCCTCTTTGGGGTTTCTCCTGGTTGAGGTTTCTCCTGGTTGAGGTTTCTCCTCTTTGAGGCTTCTCCTGGTTGAGGTTTCTC